AGAAACTAATACGTTATTGTATAACTCCACCACCTTATGCAACCACTGGCGCTATGACAGAAGAAGATGACGATAATAATAATTCCAGCTTGAGCTGAAAAGTTGCTCCATCTGGGTGGAGCTTCCACATGACTCCATGATAGGGAATACCCACCCCTCCCCTACCAAATATCCTAAAACTAGCTCTTCAATCCGATTGCGCTTATCATTCGAATGTCATAAGTCAATCCCACTTGCATGGGTTTTGCGTCACAACGATTGATGATTGGTTTAAAAAACGTGCGCCACTTTCTTAGCCAATCAGAGGTAAAACTAAAACCAATCGTGAAACACTCACGCACATTCACTTGATCAGGCTACATGTATTCACTACAGTTACATTAGTTACAGATCTCTGTCAAGGACGAGTATTAATCCTTCTGTTCTTACATGGATTCCCTCATTTATCTTGTATACAATTAAAATTTGGCGTTGACGTATATGTTTGAGCCAAGAAAAATTGCAGCTTCGATTTGCCAAGTTGATATGGTATTCGCCGCTGCATGTATCAGGAAAGTTCTTGTAAACTACTGGCTGTAAACCACACAAACTGGCCGAGTCACGAGTAATGGAGCTTGAACATCACTCTTATAAGCTTACATATCAGTCGAGCGGGAGCGTTTGAAACTTTTGATATTTCCAAGATTCATCAGGATAAATCTTCTTTTTTCATGAAGTAGCTATGGGAACAACCCGATTGTGACCTTTGAGCCTGCGGTACTCCCTTATTATGGATGAGGTAAGACACAAAACCACAATCACTGCGCTGACTATGACGACCCATGTTCCGTAATCCAGCGGTTGATCTTTTGAAGCTTGATCTTTTTTCTCTCTTTTTCCTTCACGCCTTTCCAGGGCCTGAAATATAAATACCTTGGTAATGAAAAAGGGCTTTATTGGGACAGCGGAACTCCGTTAATCCGGTCACCAACGGGCCACAAAGATCTGGCCGTGTTAAGGCGCGGGTAAACATAAAGGCCGTAATTTGACTGGGTATTATGGTTTTAACGTAAATATCATCGTTTACGTTTCAAGCAGTCAAGAATCTCTCTGGTCATCCCACATACCTAAGTTTTGGGCTGTTCTGTAAATTTTTTTGGTGATTTTTGAATATATTTGGGGATAAACAATTTTTCTCAAAGGATTAGTAAAATTTATGGAAATAGGAAATTTTGAAGATTTGATGTTGTATTAAAATTAGAATTTGAAGTTAAATATTGGTAGACGTACACCAAACAGTTGTCCACCAACCTGGGGTGCCCTTTCGGGGGGCGTTCNGGGGGGGGGGGGGGGGCTAATTCGAGGAATCACGGTAGTCTACCTATACCTTTTTACTATGACATTCAGATCTGTGCTGATTTCGCCCGCCGTCAGATCAGCGGTAAGCCTAGCTGAGAACAGACTCGTCAAAACTGCTCCTTCTATCATCCACAGAATAGCAAATGGACGCGCCAGGGAGGACCGGGGCGCTTTGTCGCCATACCTGCAATGGTAAGTAATGTTGTGCTCAACGAGTCCCATTAAAATGGTAGAAATTTAGTTCTAAAGATGTTAGTACTTTTTCCTGGGAGAATGCAGAGATGTTAAAGATTTCAAAGGTGTATGACTAGTTACAACAAAGGAAAACTCAAGCCATGATCACATGCATCTTTTTACGTGTACATTGACGTTAGTGAACGCATAGAATTATGATTTCGCGCACAAGACTACTAGTCCAATGATCACTTTCGTATTGTCCACCAGTAAATTATAAAAGGATGAAGTAATGCTGACATATCTATTTAGGTAGCTCATAGCGGTTCTAGAATTTTCAGCACCTCTACTTTAATTTTGTTTTTTTTTTTTGGGATTCGAAATATAAGGAAAAGCCCAACCAATGGTGGACTAATTTTCACCTTTTTTGTTACCCGAAAGGTTATCATAGCAACAGTATAACCCGCGTTAAAGCACCAGTAACTTGCGCTTTAGGGGCTGATACTCCAAAACGAGTCGGTTGATATCCAGTTTTTATCACCGAATTGCGATAAACATTTCAAAATAAAACTTTTTGCCAAGTTTTTTTTTTTTAACAATTATGTGAACAGAGTTAACTGAAGGCACCTTAAATTGACCTAAATTGGACTAACATCTACTACTAGTTTAATAATTCCCTTTTCAAAATCACACCCGATGCTTAAAGGCTTTGGATTTAATGAATGCCATTTGTCGTTTCTACCCTTGTTAATCTCGCGGTTGATGATGACAATATTTGTTATACGTTTTTCATTTAGTTAAAAAGACTCATCCCAACACAGATACTAGTCCTACTGAGATGCACATACTGTTGAAGCCTACCCAACGGTTGCCACAGCAACGAAAGCTCACCATATTCCTTCGCTTATTCCGCATAAAGAGTTATGTGGAAACTCGTCTGGATTCGACTTGTGATCCTGGAAAACGTAATTATTAAGTAAATTAAGTTAAAGTTCAGCCGGAGGTGTCTAAAACATGTCATTGATGATGTGGTTTACCCTTTCGTGTTTACAAAACAAGCTTTGTTCCTAAAACAATTGCTGTAGAAAGTGTTCCAAAGAACATAATTTTTCAGTTTCCCCTGATCATAAAATTATAACATAAAAATTTTTGAATCATTCTCTCACACTTTTTGGGGTTTGGTACTCAGGGAGTTCTGTTTGTACCAAAGGGCGAGTTCTACTAGAGCTTTGTTCAGCATTGTTGTGACCTGGTCCACCGATTCTCCAACGCATTACATGGTAGTATCGTCGGCAGACAGGAACGTCGTTGCAGTTTTGACTGCTTTCGGTAGATCGCTTGTGTATAAGGCGAAGAGTATTGGCCCAAGTACGGAGCCCTGTGGTATGCCGTGGGCAACTTTGGTATTCTTAAAGGGTACGCCATTAATTTTATTGTCCTATGAACATTTTTTACACGGCCCCATGAGTTATGTTAGCTTTAAAACCTACCGTGTTTAAATAAAAGTTGTTGTTGTTGTTGTTGTTGTTGTTGTTGTTCCTGCCAAGAAAGTCTTAAACGTGTTTGGTATTGTTCCAGCTCATTCAAGCATGACGAGCGACTCATCAAAAATTAACAAGGAGTTTTTTTAATTATTTTGTTTTCATCAAGTCAAGGCTGACATGTTGCAAAATTAAACGGAGTTTTACCCGTTACAGGAATGACAACTTTTCATTTTCACTGTGCGCACAGAACATGTTATCAAAACCGTAAACGGGCCTTATTCTTAAAACACAGTATGTCATTACACTTTCTTTTTGCCATATTTTTCACCGATTCACATGTAAAGGACCACCCCATGTCTTCAGTTTCTAAATTTGGACGTCAAAAAATATCGCTATCACCGTAAAAATGCTTCGAAAAATACAACTTCTCAGTTTCACCTGATCATGAAATTATTACATAAGAATTTTGAATCAAAAATATGAGTTACTTCATAAATAAGAGCTTTTACGAAGAGATGCCGGTTTGAATGTTATGCATATACCAGATATATCTCAAGATATATCTCAGCAATTTTGAAATTATAATAATTTTAAGCAATCTACGTTGCAGTGTCGGAATGCGGATAAAGTTTGGGCTGTAAGCAAATAGCAAAATTTAAAAAGAAAATAGAGAGCGATGATTGACAATTTTTATGTACATACCAAACCCCACATGGCCATGCCAGCTAACACCGGGTGTAAAAAGCAGATAAGTATCAGTTTCCACCTATTTTTCAGTAAGTATGCAAATCCAGTAAGAGATGAATCTAATCCGCGGCTGAATTTCAGCGCTGCAGGTCCTGGAGAATCAAACAGGGCAATGAATCTTCTGTCAAACTGCTGTTTTTTACCTCTGTTGGAGAAAATTGGAAAGTGGACCATTGGATCATCAACGTGATATTTCCTTATAAGGATCTCCATGTCGTACGAGCTGGTAACGTTTACCCTTTCGCCAGTGATTTGCACGACTGCACAACACGTATTGACTGCACGTCTCATAAAACGAACCAGACGTCCTTCAAGAATCTTGCTTGATGAGTTGTAATGAGTAAATGGGTGAGAATCGTGCCATCGTAATCTTACTTCGTCGAAAGACGGACAGTGGAAATCACTTTCATTTGTTCCAACCACATCTGCTTTCGTTTCACAACTGTGTAGCTTCCCCAATAAAATCAAAATGTAAAGTTTGTTTAAAGCCTGAACGGCAAGACATGATTGCGGGGCTCTCACAAGCGTCATGGTTCATGCAAGACAAATTAAAACGAAAATATTGTTGTTGTTGCCCTACAAAAATAATACCCTGGAAACTGATGAAAGTAACCACCAGCTACTTTAATTACAGAAGTTTTGTACTAATGAATTTCAAAAATAACATCTTAGAAATTTGAAGTCTGTTAATAAATCAAATGAAAAAAATGTATATATATACTTATCTCGCTTACAGGATGTATTTTTTTTTAACTGCAACGTGTCTCTGATAATAATTTCAACATTACAAAGGGAACTAAAGGCAGATGCGTTCCTCAGGGATTCAGAATGAATGTAAATATGTTATAATCCACGATACTCGGACACCGTACAAGAAACTAAATATGGATTTGATTTTGGAGCTTTATTTACTTCTGTATACGATACTAGAAAAAATTTCAGCCAAATGTTGTGTTTCAAATTATGTTAAAACACGACAATAATTGATCCAATTGAGACATAGGCATGTATGTTGCCAGAGAAATTAATATAGCATGTAAGGACGTTTGTTATAGCACGTTTGTTGTAACATCTAGTGTTAAAAATGATTTTTTTCCCCATGGAATGGAGTGATTTTGCGTTGATCCTATATATTGTCCTCTAGCTTCTTCTGTTCCTTATTGAGCAGCCTTCTTTGCATCTGTGGCGTTTCACATCCCACTGTGTCCGTTGCTGTGGTTAACTAACACATAACACGACCAAACTTGGAAGGTGACGGCAAGGAAGTTACGTGACGAGTATGTCACGGCTTTTTTTTATGAAACTTCGCATATTGCTGGTTTTCACTGTCACGCCATCAAAAATAAAAATTGTAACCATTTAACAAATTAAGTCAAGAATCTGGGATATGACAGATGATTGATATATAAACAATCTCGCCAAGATTTAGGTCCATGCTGCTTTTCATTTGCATACGACACGCCCGTTCCGAGAAGCGAAAAATTCCAGCTTAAAGTGTACGAGCGCCCACAAATTTAACGCAAAATCCAATCACCCACATAACTTCAGCTCGACGACAACGTCACGCCAATGAACTGAACTTTTGACTTTTGTTTTGGTTTGTTCTTAAGTGATCGAATTATCTTAATCTCTTGAATTTTCAAATCATGTGCTTTAATAATCGTTTAGGCCATCCCTTTTTTTTTTTTTGGTTTATTGTCGAATGCGTTTTCTGATTTTGGGTCGGTCGGTCGGAAAAGGAAAAAAAAACAACAATAAAATTGGAAACGGAGTCTGGAGCTAGGAGGCCCGGTACCTCAGCATAATATCCGTGGAGCCTGGAAACAACAAGGTGCGGTTACAAAGTCAACATCGCGGCAATGGAGGAAAGAAAAAGTCGTTGTTAAAATCAAACGAGAACAGGGAAAAACTAAAAATCTGTAAGGCAAAAAATTGCTTATGTTTTAGATTAAAGTGACAATTGTTTGAAATAATGTGTCATTGCCTTCATTGCCTTC